TACTTAAAATGTACTTATTTTCTCAGAATCTCCTTTTTCTCCATTGGTAAATTAGGTAAAATAATGCTTGTCCATTTGTAGGATTGGAGGGGTAGTTAAGGTTCCTAAGGATTTTTAGGGCTTTAGAACAAGAATGGTAGTATACAGATATATTTGTGTTTTTAGATCATCTGAGAAGAAAAGAAATACAATCAATGAACTGATAAAAGAGCTAGATTAAAAATGACTCACCTTTTTTGTGTGTAAAAACATTTGGTGGAAAGTTCATTGTTCTCCTGTGTGAATAATCCTCTTTGAAACTGAAGACTTTGGTTTTGCTCTTTTTAAAGTTTAAAGAAACCCTAAAATGACTTAAGTACTCACCCCAGATCCTTTAAAGATCAGGCAACACCTTCCACTTGCCCAAGGAGTGCATATTTCTTGGAGAGGGGAAAGCATATTCAGGCTAACACAGGAAGCCACACTCAGGATTCAAAGTCTAGAGTTTGTACTTAGTGCGGTTTGCAGCCCTATTTTCCTTATGTGGGTGATGACTGAAGAGAAATTTCCAACCCCAAGTCACAGAGATGAAACAGTTGCGGACACTGCAACATGGGTGAGGTGGGTGGGAGATCAACTGGGCTATTGGTCCACATAGACCAGAGGCCAGTCAACTCTCTGTAAAGGTCCAGATGGGAAATATATTGGGCTTTGAGGTCATGCAGTCTCTGTTGCAGCTTTCAATTCTACTGTTGTGTGAGAGCAGCCATAGACAATATGTAAAAGCATGAATCAAGCTGTGTCCCCCAAAAAAGATTACTTAGCAAAACAGGTGACCCTCAGGCTGAAGTTTGCTGACCGTCAGTATAGACTGTGAAACACTTCTCATGGGGTGAGAAAGAGCCCCAGCACTGGCGAAACTGTGTTTGGAAGTTCAGAGTCATCCAATATACACCCCTCCATATTAGAGTCATTCAGTAAAAAGTGGCAAAAATTTCCTACTTAAAGGGCTACAGAGTGACCAGTTCAGTCGTTTTTCACAGTGTCTAAGTCTTTCTTTCCTGTGGTTGAACCATTAATGGAATTTGTAAATAAAAAAGAGAGAGAAAAGGAAGGAAGGAAGGATAAAGGAAAACTGGATCAGGAAAGTAAATGAACAGATTCTGGTGGATCCGTCTTGTGGATCCAAGGCAGGTTGGTGAAGGACAGCTAAGACAGAAAAGAAGGCACAGTGAGTCTCTTTAAAAACAGTGGTCAATGCCGTGTGAAAGACTGAGCACGTGAGGTTAGTGGTTAAGAGCACAGGCTCTGGAAACAAACAGACCTAAGTTTTAAATCCTGGTTCTATTATTTACCAGCTGGCTGATCTTGAGCTTGCTGCTTAACCTCCAGGCCTCTGTTTTCTCATCTATAAAGTGGGAATGAGGACACCTTAACTTGCAGGATGTCTGAAAGGAATAAAAAGTATGTTGAACCTTTAACGCAATGTAAGTGCCCAATAAATGGAAGCCACTGTAATAACTGAGCTTTTGAGCAGGAAATTCATACTGAGAGCAACTAAAAATTAAAGTATAATTAAAGTCCTAAGAGAGTAAAGAACAAAGTCATAAACTCAAGCATTGAACTTCCTTTTTAGAATTCTGTTTTCTAGGCTCATTCTTTTTTTCCTTTTTGCTGAGGAAGATGAGCCCTGACCTAACATCTGCTGCCAATCTTCCTGTTTTTCATGTGAGCCGCTGCCACAGTATGGCCACTGACAGAGGAGTGGTGTAGGTCCGCACCCGGGAACTGAACCCAGGCCGCCAAAGCGGAGTGCACTGAACTTAACCACTAGGCCACTGGGGCTAGCTCTAGGTCCATTCTTTTTTTATTCAGCAAATATTTCTCAACACATTATTTTCCTGGCACTGTGCTAGTTTCTGAGGTTCAAAAATGAACAAAGGTTCTGCACTTCTGACAATAGAAAGTTAAAAAGGCTTTGGTGACGGTACCTATAATCAAGCTTTTGTCTTAGTAAGCCCACCCTTCTATACTCTGCTTAGTGATCCTAGGGGTGACACTAAGGAAACTACTTTTCTCCTTTGCCGGTTGTTTCGTATTAGGCTCTGACAATAGGATACCTGAGGGAGGGTGGAAGGCTGGAGGAAGGAGAAGGGAGGTACACTTTTTTTTCCCATTTGTTTCACCTTGCGTCGGCATCACCACCACAAGCCTTCTTCACTCTGGCAACGGCAATTCATTTGCAGTGTTTCTGCACTCCTGGACTCAACCTTATCACTACTCCTCCAAAATACCAGCCATGGGGCGGGGCCAGCCCTGTGGCCAAGTGGTTAAAATTCCACATGCTCTGCTTCGGCAGTCCAGGTTTATGGGTTCGGATCCTGGGTGCAGACCTACTCCACTCATCAGCCATGCTGTGGAGGTGTCCCACATACAAAATAGAGGAAGGTTGACACGGATGTTAGCTCAGCAACAATCTTCCTCAATCACAACAAGAGAAGGATTGGCAACAGATGTTAGCTCAGGGCGAATCTTCCTTACCAAAAAAAAATTACTAACAGAGGTCTGGGTCAACCTCACAAGCCCCTCTCCCCCTGCTAAATTTTAATAATCCCTACCTCTTCCTTGTATTCGCTGAGCCCCAGGGATGGTAGCTGCTTCTGAAGTTACTATCTCAGTTCTCCAACACCTGCTTAATGGTTCTTTATGTTAAATTCACTCTATTACAATCATTGGTGTAGCTTCTGTCTCCTGACTGGACCCCAACTGCATATGGTGATTCAAGTCTAGCTCACAAAGGTCTATTGACAATTTCACAAATTGTGTATCCCATTAAGGGAACAGGCTCAGTAAACATATTTCCATGCACGAAAAGCCTTAGACAAGGAAGGAAGCTTTTTAAAATACAGCACTGTAAAAGTAAAAGGCCAGTTTAAAAACAAGTACAGTGAAAAGGCAAATCATGGAATGGGAGAAAATATTTGCAAATTGTATAGCTGACAAGGGATTAATATCCAAAGTACATAAAGAACTCCTACAACTCAACAACAACAACAACAACAGACAAACAATCTGATTAAAAAGTGGGCAAAGGAAATCAAACAATACGATCAAAAAATAGGCAGAGGATGTAAACAGACATTTCTTCAAAGAAGATATACAGATGGCCAATACGCACATGAAAAGATGTTCATCCTCACTGATCATCAGAGAAATGCCAATCAAAACTACACTAAGATATCACCTTACACATGTTAGAATGGCTATAATAACCAAGACAAAAAATAAATGTTGGAGAGGACATGGAAAAAAGGGAACCCTCATGCACTCCTGGTAGGAATGCAAACTGGTTCAGCCACTATGGAAAACAGAATGGAGATTTCTCAAAAAACTAAAAATAGAAATACCATGTGACCCAGCCATCCCGCTATTGGATATCTATCCAAAGAACTTGAAATCAGCAATTCAAAGAGTCTTATGCATCCCTGTGTTCATTGCAGCATTATTCACAATAGCCAAGACATGGAAGCAACCTGAGCACCCATCGACTGACGACTGGATAAAGAAGATATGGTAAATATATACAATAGAATATTACTCAGGCATAAAAAATGACAAAATTGTCCCATTCAGAACAACACGGATGGACCTTGAGGGTATTACATTAAGCAAAATAAGCCAGACAGAGAAAGACAAACATTGTATGATTCCACTCATATGTGGAAGATAAACAAACACATGGACAAAGAGAACTATTTAGTGGTTACCAGGGGGAAGAAGGGTGGGCACAAAGGGTGAAGGGGCACACCTATAAGATAACTGACAATAATGTACAAGTGAAATTTCACAATGTTGTAAACTATCATAACCTCAATAAAAAAATTAATTAAAAAAAACGGGCAAAAGACTTGACTAGACGTTTCTCCAAAGAATATATACAAATGGCCACTAAGCACATGAAAAAATGTCCAACATCACTAATCATTAGGAAAATGCAAATTAAAACCATAATGAGATACCACTTCACATCTATTAGGATGTCTACTATCCAAAAGTAGAGAATAACAAGTGTTGACAAGAGTGTGGAGAAATTGGAATCCTTATGTACTACTGGTGGAAATGTAAAATGGTGCAACCACTATGGAAAACCGTATGGAGAGGTCCTCAAAAAGGTAAAAATAGAATTACCATATGACTCATAAATTCCACTTCTGGGTATAAACCCCAAAGAATTGAAAGCAGGAAACTCAAAGAGATATTTGTACACTCATGTTCATAGCAGCATTATTCCCAATAGCCAGAAGGTGGAAACAACTTGAGTGCCCATTAACAGAAGAATGGATAAACAAAATGTGGTCTATACATGCAATGGAATATTATTTACCCTTAAGAAGGAAGGAAATTCTGACACATTCTGCAACATGGATGAACATTGAGGACATTATGCTAAGTGAAATAAGCCAGCCACAAAAGGGCACTGTGTGATTCCACTTATGGAAGATACCTAGTCTACTTAAATTCACAGGGACAGAAAGTAGAATGGTGATCATCAGGGGCTGGGGAGAGGAAAGCATGGGAGTTATTGTTCAATGGAGACGGAGTTTCGGGTTTGGAAGATGAAAAAGCTCTGAAGATGAATGGTGGTGATGGTTGGACAACAGTGTGCATGCACTTAATGCCGCTGAACTGCACATTTAAAAATGGTTAAAGTGATGTTTTATGTTATGTACATTTTGTCGCAATTAAAGAAATACACATATTTGTGGTTACCTGTGTTAGCATGAATTCACCATCTTGTCTAATATCCAAGCCTCATGTTAAAAATGCTAAGAGAAGTCAGGGCACCCCCAAATGAAGCTAAGTGACAACAGTGAAAGGAAGTTTGTCTTCCTAGTACTTTTTTTCTGTTCTCTTTGAGATGGGTATTATCAGCATCTAGCTGGCACTCTCTGAATAGTGGTGGATTTTCTGGTTCTCTCAGTCTGATTCATAGGAAATAGAGTACACATAACTGAAAGGAATTAGAATTAGAACAGGGAAAGGAGGCCAAGACTTTATTGTAGTTACAGTAAGGCAAATTTTACAGAGGTAATAAAACTGAAGCAATTTACTAAATAATTTGAAAACCATAATGAAGTCAGCTGTGATATATTTGGGATCCGTAAGGCTTTATAACAGTCTTCTACACCAAGGTCATAGAGGGATGCACTCCACCAGTTAGTACTGAGCTGTGGGCTTCTCTTTCCTTATTTATACAAGGTAGATAATAGCAATAACTACCTCTTCGGGTCCTTGGGAGAATCACGCTCTTAGAATTGCTCCTGGCACACACGCTATATACACATCTGTAAGAACAAATATTTGTTTGTTTAATAGCAATTAACACTGCTTAAATATTTCATTTTACAACCCAATTTCATATCCATTAACTTATTTGATTCTTAAATAATCCTACAATGAGAGAAAAATAACCCTGAAAATACTAAAAAAAAAAAAACGTAGTCACACAGGTGAATCGATACGTGTAGCTTTGTCAGCCTCACCTTACTTTCTTTAACCTCCAAAACAGCTATAATGCGACCTTATTCCTCTCTCACGGGTGTCAATGGATAAATTTAGTTTCCTGATACAATATGCAAGCTTTCAAAGTTCAGTAGTTTCACTTAAATAATTAGCTTAATTAATGAAATAGAGACAAAAATTATTAACTTTTTGGCTTGTCCTTTCTAGATATTAGTCACTTTTTAGTATTAGGCATATACATAAATACACCCCTTAATCAGTGTAATTTTACTTTTTTCTCGAAAAAGTCCATTTGGGCTTACAAATTTTCGTGGATTTATCCCTTTTAGTAAGACTCTCTACTCCCACTCTGATTTCCAGGGCTGTCTAAGTGAAGATTGGCAGGAAGAAGAAAAGAGGCAGCCTAGGAGATAAGAAAAGAATGAGTTTTGACATCAAAACGATCTGTATTCAAACCCAAGCTGTGCCAATCAGCTGAGAGACTTTGGGAAAATTACCTAGCCTCTCTTGATATAAAAGCATCCAGCGCAGAACAGATACTCAGCAATGTATATATATATATATATATTTATATAAGCATCTACTTGTAAAATATGAACTTTAGAATTACCCCTAGACATAAATTTTCTTGTAAGGTAACCAAAAGGAAATGATAAGAAGAATTGGAATGCATTACAGGTAACATTTCGATTATTTCAGTGTGGATGACAATCACTACCGCCAGGAAACGGAATCATAGGTGATTAAATCAGAGTGTGATAAGGTGACTTCTCAAGCTACTGTAACTATGCTAACTATGCAGGTTGGGCAACTGTCTTGGGGGATGGGATTGATTTCATATCCACACCTCAGGGCATTCCATTCATGCTGTCAAATCAGTGAGCATTTAAAAACAAATAAAGTAAAGCCTTATGTGTGTGTCTGGGCACATAATATGAATGTATCAGCATAAAGAATGTGTTTTAGAATCACAGAGTTTGGGAGATGAGAGGGATCATACAGATGCTCTCTCAACCACCTCATTTTATGGATGAAGCAAATCCAAAATGTTGCAAGCCACATCCAACATCTAGTTGGTGCCAAGAACACAGGTTGTCATTGCTTCCCACTCCGCTACTCATCCGTCTTCCTTTACTGTCCTTGCAAAGTCACCAGAACAGGTTGGCCCGTGAGCCTGTGCTGTGATTCTGTGAGTGATGATTTTCCATTCACACTCCTCAGGCCTATTCCAGCTGGATAGATGGGCGTTGTAAACTTTGACTTATGCTGTTGAATGAGACATTGTTTGATGGAAGTGTGTGGGCGGGGAAGCTAACAAACCCCAGTTGCCAACTTTTGAAGCAAACATGCTCTCTTTATCCCCCAATGTAGTTTTTGACGTAATGAGCAGGCTTCCAATTTTCCTTGCAAATCAGCACACTGGTGACCATGGCAACTGGCATGCTCAAAAGATGCCCTGTCAAGGGGCTCTGAAAGGCCTACAGACATTTGTATCAGATGGGCACAGCCACTCTGGCCAGTGCTTAACAAATAACCAACTAGACCACGTTCCCCAAAATAAAGCGCACAAACATTTGTGTTTCATTAAACAGAAATTAATAAGACTCCAATAGGAAGAAGCGAAGGGAACTGTGTTTTTGTGTATACAGCTGTGTTATGAAGTAATACAGAGAATGCTCCTATGAATAATGATTGCACATGTGTGTTCAATTTATTTCTGTTACTTCTTACATGATCTCCTTTAACTTTTTTTCAGAAATCAATCACAGGTTTCACAGCTGGCCAGGACAGGGGTCTTGACTGCTCCTTTCACACAACAGAGCCCCAATAGCACTTCTCTATTTAAAACCACCCTGGGTTATTAGTAAGTTATACCTTTAGAAAATGTAAATGTTTTCTTCCTTGATGATGAAGGACGTGAGTCTATTGGGTTGACTCTATTAGAGAGGAAAATAAATGTTGAAAAGTCCAGTCTAGAAACAATGAGCCTTTAAATTAAAAAAGAGTGTATATCTATGGCGTTTGGTGCAGCTAAAGACAAAACGATTCACAAGAGCTGCAGACTGTCCTCTTGTCACAGAGCTTCCTCAAGCCTCCACCCCACCTTTTGGAAGGGTTGTTTGTGTCTCCTTTCAGCACAGAAGGAGGCTGGGGCAAGAGGCTAGTAAATATTTTTGAAGGGGAAAATGGAGGGGAGATGGAGAGAAAGGAGGAAGCAGAAAGAAGAGAAGGAGAAGAAAGAGAGAGAGGAGAGAAGAGAGGAATAAGGGAAAAAAGAGACTGAGAAATTCATTTTGCTGATTGTATGTGCTTCATGAAGCTGTGATAGTCTCTTTCATTTATTCAGGCAGGTCCACCAAAATGCTTTTCTTAAAAGGAATTAGCAAAAAAAGATGGGGGTAAGGGAACTAATTGGGCTTCTAGCCCAGCACCCAGATATAAACAAGCCGTTCTTTCATCATAGGAGCCTTGAATTCATTTGATCTTCACTGCTCACCACTCTTCTTGACTTCTCCCCTCATCTGCCATTCTGGGTTTATTGACAGACGTCCAAAACGATCACAGCTCCCTTTCATTTTGGCTACACGGTCCTTTGGAATTTCCCCACCTGCCACACCTCCATAGAACTTTTCTTTCTAAACTCAAGAGCTCGTGCCTTTAGACCAGGTCTATTTCTTCAGGCATGCGATTTGGCCTTCTTGTTACTGCAAGCAACTTCTGTTTTCCTCTAAACTTCCATCTTTCAGACTGAACTTGATCACAGACTGGGTAGGCGGGAGGTAGAACATGGAAATATTTCTCCTTCTACATGTGATTATAAAATAGGAATTTTTATTCCTTCTGCAGGCATATCTCCAGCTCTGCAAATAAGCAGTGCAGTGTCAGCAGAAGTGCAGGAGCGTCTGGAGCAGCTTCCAGGACTGACCAGCTGTTGGGCAGGGGCACCCAGGAAGAGGAGAAGCAGCGTGGCCCAGACGGTGATTCACACCTAAAAATACCAACTCCAGCAGCTCTTCAAAAAGATTCGAGACCTGGATCCAGATACAGGAAGTTGCTGAAATAATTTACAGCTGACTTGGCCCCCAAATGTTTTTCCTCATTCCCAAGATGTATTTTTAACTACACTTGGGGGTGAGCAATGCATTTAAGGAGAAAATAGATAAGCGTTTCGATTTTGTGGTTTGCAAGCCTATTGTTAACAGTGCTGAAGAAAAGTTAAAACATTCCAAAGTTTGTCTTCAAGACCGTGACACACATTGATCAAACTGAGAAAATAATCAGTTAATTAAGATTTCTTTTGTCCTTACTTCACTTTTGTATTAATTATCTATTGCTGCATAACAAATTGCCCAAACCTCAGCAGTTTAAAACCACAAATATTTATTGTCACTGTTTCCATGGGTCAGGAATTTCGATGGCACTAGCTGGGAGCCTCTGGCTCAAGGGCTTTATGAGGCTTCAGTCAAGAGGTCAGTGGGGCTGTGGTCTCATCTGCAGTCTCCACAGGGGAGGGTCCAGCTCCAAGCTCACTCACCTGGTTGTTGTCAGGCCTCAATTCTTTGTGGGCAGTTGGACTAAAAGCCTCTGTTTCCCACTGGCTGTTAGCTGAAGGCCTCCCTCTGTTCCCCACCGCAGGGCTGACTGAAAACATGGTGGCTAACTTCCTGCAGAGTGAGTGAGAGAGAGAGAGAATACTCAAGACAGAAGCCATCGACTTTTTATAACTTAATCTCAAAAGAAACACTCCCTTACTTCTGTTGTTTTCTATTCATTGGAAGTGAGTCACTAAGTCCAGCCCACACTCAAGGGGCGAAGATTACACGAGGAGGCAGGGATAATTGGGGACCATCCTAGAGGTTGCCTACTTCAGCCCTTATTTCTGAATATTGTGTAATCCATGATGGAGAACGTCTTATTCCAGTACACTGAGACTCATGCAACAATTAGACACCATAAGCAAAACTGAGTTCCTTTGGGAATTTACTGTATCAGAGGAGCTCAACCAACTTGCAAACACATGCTTTTAGAGAAGGGTCAATTTATTCCCGGTCCCCCTTCCTCTCCTTCCTCACTTCTCACCACACACATACCTCCAGTTTAAAACCCAATCTTTTTTTGTATGTGTGAGGAAGATTGGCCCTGAACTAACACCTGTTGCCAATCTTGCTCTTTTTGCTTGAGGAAGATGGTCTCTAAGCTAACATCTGTGCCAAGCTTCCTCTACTTTGTACATGGGACACTGCCACAGTATCCCATGGCTTGATGAGCAGTGTGTAGGTCTGCACCCAGGATCCGAACCTATGAACCCTAGGCTGCTGAAGCAGAGTGCACAAACTTAACCACTATGCCACCAGGCCACTGCCAAAACCCAATCTTTTAACTGGGTTTAGAGTTATTAGGAAGTAAAAAACAAACAGAGAGAAAACTTGACTGACTTTATCCCAACTAGCTGTATGGCTTTGGTAAAATCACTTAACTGTTTCAGGTCTCAGCCCCCTCCTCTGCTGAAAGAATGGTTTGAACCCAATGATCTCTCTGGTCTCTCAAAGCTTTAGAAGTGTATGAGATTATGGTTCCGCATGTGCGAACTTGGAATGAAATAAAATGTGTGACAGAAATAGGAACTTCAGAGGTCTATGGCAAAGGTCAAAGGGATGAGCTTTGGGGATTTTACAAAGCACTTTGCACACTGTGAAGTGCCATACACATGTAAGGGCTTATTACTATTAGCCTTCATCACGAAAGGGTTGGAGTCGGGCAGACAGTAATAAAAACCATCTTACCATTCAGCCAGGCAGTTGGTGTCAGGTATCACTCCCTTAGATCCATTTTTTCATAGTGGAGAAACATCAGCATCAGTAAGGGAGTTAAGAGGGAAAAAAGTGACCTGCCTCCTCCCTCACACTGAAGACTCATCCTTCAATATTTCAGATTCACCGTGTGCTGGGCCCTCAGGGGTGTTCTCTAACTTATCCGTCTTGCCCCCGATCTCCATTCTCGTTTCTCTGGCTGCCCCCTCCACAGCAGGAACTTCTCTACTGGCCCCTCTCCTGCAGATTCTCTTTCCTCTATCACCTCTTTCCTCAGCCTTCTGTTTTTTGGACCCCTTCTCTCGGAGAGTTCGCTATCCTTGAGGAGTGACTCAGTGTGGGTCATCAGTCAGTGTCAGCTCCACCTGGCTCCACAGCAAATTGATAAATACGAAGGCCTTTAAATATCTCTGAGTATGGATTTTATGCACAGAAAAGACCATTCAGAGTTTGTGCTGGTTTATAAAAAGCAGTATTAGATTTATTAAAGTCATAATTTAAAAATGCATTCATCCTTAAGCTTTCGAGTGCAACTTACAAATCATATTATTTTATTTATAAGTCTAGCAAATTTTAGCAGTCACAGTTAAGGGTCCCTTGAATAATATTTGGCCTCATTTTATAAACCAAGTTAATTAAGCACCCTTGAATATTTTGAATTCATTTATAAATGTATATGCTTTTAAGTACTTGACTTGTCTAATGGTAAACCTTTCCATGCATTTAAGTATTTCCTGTGATTCTAATCAAGCGAATTTCTAAATGTGATGAATCTTAAGTTCAATAAAAACGTTCCAATGTTGTTTATAAATTTTGTAAATATGTTAGTCAGTATAGGCTAGGCTGCAATGTGAAAACAAATGAAACCTGAAATCTGGATGGCTTGACACTGTCGAAAAGGTCAACCAGAACACCATTAGCAGAAGTCTTTATCAAAAATTCCAGGCATAAGAAGTTTCCAAACGGGATTTCTAACTTGCAGAAGGAGGCCAGAATGTTTTACAGGACTTTAGCGAGAGGGGGTCTGCTGAAGTTCAGTTTCAAGAATAGTTGAATCAAGGAGAATTTTCAGAAGAGAGAGCAATTATTTTTGTGGATTAGCAGCTGTGGGTGGGGAATTTGGATGTTATCAAGAGGGGTGGAGAGGAGCAATCAGGGACCAAGTTTATATGCAAGAAGGGGTGGGGTGCAGGGCACAGCTATTGAGGACAAGGATATGCGAGAGCCGCAGTGGAAATTCTGTCTTTCATGGTCTCTCACAACACCATGCAGGTTTATTTCTCCCTCAGGTGGATCCAATGTGATTGACATAGCCCTCCCCCATCTAGTACGTACACCAGCCAGGTCACATGCTTCCAAGGTCAACTTCACAAGGAAAGGAAGGATGAAGGAGACATGCCAACTTTGATTGCTTCCACCCAGAAGTCAAACCAAGTAGGCAGAGATTTCTTAAAGTGAAAATACGAATGAAACAATTTTGATTCTTTAAACGATTTCTCTATTTAGCTCTGTGTCTTCACAGGGTTTCTGACTATGCAATACCAAGTATTTGGGGGGAGAGGGATCTGAGACTGTATCACAACTGGAGATTTTGGCCAGGGTGCTTGCTGTATGAATTCATGCCTGTAACTGAAGCATTATAATTTAAAAACAGACTTGTCACCCTCAAAACCTATATAGCCCATGGCCCTATGGAACTCATGGAATAGGGCAGAACGCAGGTCATAACCTATCTTGACTACATCACTTATTTGGACTTTGCATTTCTTTGACTCTGAAGACATGCAAGTGTCTTTTTCATCTAATCCAAATACTTTTTCTTTTTGAGGAAGGTTAACCCTGAGCTAACATCTGCTGCCAATCCTCCTCTTTTTGCTGAGGAAGACTGGCCCTGAGCTAACATCCGTGCCCATCTTCCTCTACTTTATATGTGGGATGCCTTCCACAGCATGGCGTGACAAGTGGTGCCGTGTCCACACCCAGGATCCAAACCAGCAAACCCTGGGCTGCTGAAGCGGAACGTGTGACCTTAACCACTGCGCCACCAGGCTGGCCCCTAATTCAAATACTTTTGAACTTGATGTAAACGTGAATTCTTTTCACAAGCATTTATAAGTACTAAAATATTAAATGGAGGAGAAAGAAGGTATACACATCTTGAAGGTGGAGGACAAAGAGGGAAGATGCTACCAAAGTGGTTTAAGAATAGAACCTCTCCCCCCACCACCCACAAAACAAACAAACGACAACGAAAACACAGTCTCACACCATAGAGCTTAATTCCCTGTCGCTTATTATGCTAAAAAAAAAAAAAGCATCAGTTGCCCCCTCATCGTTACAAAAAGTCCCCCTATCCTTGGAAAGATTCACATTCAGGAAGGGACATTGAAAAGCTAAAGACTCTCATGCAATTGTCTCTCAGACTGGTGGGGGGAGAGAGATCTGCAAACCACCAAATAAGTATATGATGGGAGCTTGTGGAAGAAAACCCTAAGTCTGCTGGGGCCAGTAGGAAACGAGACAGCGCTAGAGAGACGAGGAGCCATCTTCTGGGCAACTGATTAGGGTAGAGTGGGAGAGGCAGCCAGCTGCCGGCAGGACAGTGGTGTGTACAGATATAGAGTGTGCAAGAGCAAGCAGCAGCTGAGTGTTGCTGTGAAACGGTCCTGGAGGGATGGGTAGGGGTCGAGTTAGGAAGGATACGATACATTGTAAATAGGAGTGGATTTAGTCCTAAAGGTGATTGGGAGACACTAAGAGATGTTAAGTAGAGAAAGAACATGATTACATTTTCATTTAAGGAAAATCAGTCTAGTGTGAACTGCTGGGCAGTGGGAGCTGGCTGAAGATAGGAACAGAATCAGAAGGCTCTGCAGGTGTTCCTGTGAGACGAGGTGAGGGCTGCATCAGAAATTGTGCACGTGCAGACGGGAGAAAACGAAGAACGATTTTAGGAGATGAACATCAAAAGAAAAGCAATTCTTTGGGTGAAGTAAGAATTTTGGGTCAGGATTTAGGTGCTTATAAATATGCCCTAAACAGCAAAATGGGAAATAGAACTATCAGAAAATTCTGCAATTCCCAGCAAACAGAATTCAGCCTCTGGATGGCAAATCTCAGCTGCTCATACTGCCCGCTGTGCCCCATCCCCATTGACCTTTCACCAATCGGATCTCCCTGATCAGCCCTGCGGGTTCCCCAGCGACCTGGCCCATGGCCCATCTTCCTTCCAGAATCAGCTCAGACACTGACTTGCTGTCTGACAAAGAGTCAATCCCATTATCACTCCAGAGCCCAGGGTCCACACCTACAAACTGCAAACAGTAATAATACCACTTCCCACGGTCACGGTGAGGACTAAATGAGAATGTGAAAGCACCTGGTAAATGTGAAGCACCATACTAATGTGAGGTGTTGTTATTGATGAAACTAAAATAAGACAGGCTGGTAGAGAGGAAGACAGGAGGGGAGGGGGAACAGTGGATGGAGCCATTTCTGGAGCTGGTCACTATGCACAGTGCTCTGGCAAAAGAATTGAGTAGAGACTATGTCAGAGTCCCACAGTGAGTTGAAAGCACTGCAGACAGAGTAGAGTGTGCTAGAAAGCATGTGGGTTTTGGACGTAGCCAGGCTCGGGTCTGAATCCCAGCTTCACCACTCTCTAGCTCTGTGGCCTTGAGCAAGTTAACTTGAACTCTCTGAGCTCCTATTCCTTTATCTGTGGTATGAAGATAATAACTCCTCACTTACAGTGTTTTTGTGAGAATTAAATGAGTTAACACTCAAAAGGTGAGTAGTATATAGAAGGAGTACGACAATGTTGGTTTCCTTCTTCCACTCCTACTTTCTTTCTT